ACAATCTAATTAAAAAGAAATTAAAACATCCTCGTCCCACCAGGAGCGCCGCCCCCGCCCACCCATGCCATCAACCGGGGCATTGGCATCGAAGGGCTCGGCTGCGTGCTGGCCGGCCTCATGGGCACCGGGAGCGGCACCTCCTCTTGCTCGCAGAACATCGGTGCCATCAGCATCACAAAGGTGGGCTTTGGTGGGTTATGGGGGTTGGAGGGGAGAGGAGGGCGGGCGGGAGGAAGGGAGGATGGTGGTGGATGACTGGGGGGGAAGGGTTGGATGGCGGGTGAATGGATGGGAAGAGGAATGGGTAGGAAAGATAACGGAGATAAAAAAGGAAGGGGCGAATCTGGATGTTGTTGACTGCCTGGAGTAAATGAAATAGATTTCATTCACAATTAATATAAATTTTCACAACAGTTCATAATCCATTTCACTTTTTCCTTTCCCTGCACCATACTTAGGCACGAAGCCTCCGTGCGGCCCAGTATAAGGCAGTCATCATGGCCCTCTGTGGCCCTGTCTACCGTATACCCATTTGCACCATCGCACCATACCCCCTAATTCCCTTCCCTTCTACCACACCATACCCCCTAACACCCTTTCCTTCCATACCCCCTAACAAACACCATTTCCCCTACACACACCATTTCCTTCTACACATCATAGCCCTTCCCTTTCCTTCTACCACACCATACCCTCTAACACCCTCTCCTTCTACCACATTATAACCCCTAACTCCCTTTCCTTCTGCGACACCATACCCGTAGGTGGGGAGCCTCCGTGTGGTCCAGTATAGTGCCGTCATCATGATCGTGTGCGGGATGTTCGGCAAGTTCGGAAGCGACTGTATCGTCACCGTGCACCGAAACCAGTAAGTCGCGGAGTTGTTTAAACGTCGTCATGTTCGCTATGATCACGGCCGTCCGGAAGTGTCCACGCTGCAGTACGCTTCGATCTACACGGCTCGGCCAGGAACCTCTTTGTCTAATCGGAGCATCTCTGTGTTCCTGGGTCTCGGCGTGCCAAAGGGTATAAGCTTGGAAGAAAAGAGGATTGACAGATAAACTGTAAGGGAATGAGAAGGTTTTTAAACTTGTAAAAGCGTAGGAAAGTAGTATTCCGGAACTTTAAATATTTGGTTATTTAATCTAATTTAAAATTATAATGACGATTTTAACAAAGGCAAATGAATCACCCATTGCCGAAATTCCTTACAATTATATACCCATGATATCTTCTTCAGTTATAAGATAAAATCAACGTCAAACAAATGAATTCATTTTTCTTGATTCTTTCAAATTACAAACGTCAACTTATATCCTTTCACAACCAGGCTCTCTCTTATCCTGTTCTTAAAACCTACACGAGTTTTCCCTAAGTTCTATATTCCTCTTCACCTCTTTTTTCCTAATATCTAAATGTGACGACGTTTCCTAAGATTCTCAACGAGAGCATAGAAAGATACTACAAAGCCCCTCTCTCACCTCGTTTTTAACACTTGTTTCCTAACCTGCACACGAAAGTTTACCTAAGATTCATCCAACGGCAGAAGATACATAAAATCCCTCTCTCCACCTCTTACTAATACCTGTTCTAAACTACTGCACACAGAGTTTCCTAAGATTCTCGAGAGAGCCATCATAAAAAATCCCCTCTCCTCACCTTCTTTTTCCTGTTTCTAAACCTTGCACGAGTTTCTTGCAGTTCTCACAGACTGACGCCAGGCATCATAAAAAAGCCCTGCTCTCACCCTCTTCTTCTCCTAGATTCTTCTCACCAACCCTGACAACACTGCAGTACCTAAAATTTCTCCGACTCCAAAAAAATGAACAATTATAAACACACCCATTCCTCACCTCTTTTTCCATGTTCTAAGCAGGCACCTGCCCAGAATCGTTTCTTGAGCAAATATCTCGCGGCGCAATACATAAAAAGAACCATCCTCTCACCTCTATATTCACTGTTCAATAAACAACTGCACGACTTACCCTAAGCAGATTTCTCCTGAGAGCACTATCAAAAGCCCTTCTCCTCACCTCTTTTTCCTGTTCTAAACCTGCACGTGAAGTTCTCCCTCACAAAAAGCACTCTCCCAAAGCAGCATCATAAAAAGACCAAACTCTATCTCAAAAAAACCTAAATACACAACGATAAAAAAAAAAAAAAAAAAAAATGAACAGAAAATAAGAGAAAAAAAACAACAGTACAGCCACAAACGCAAAAACACAAACACAAAAAAAACAGACACAATAACCTCAACCGCAACATAACAGTCACACCCTACCAACAACACCAAGAGAAAACGCCTCAGACAGACACCAAAACCACTTCCAACACGACAGCCACAACAAAAAACCACCCAAAAGCAAACAACAAAACCACCCAAAACACAACAAACGAGTAACAATAGTCAGTAAAAAGCCCACAAAAAACCGAGAGGCTAAACATCATCCTGAACCTAAACGAACGATGGAACCTAAACACAATCACGAACCTCAAAAAAAAAAAAAACAAACAACAGAAAACAAACACACACAACAAAAATTAACATCTCAACACGCCGCTGTCGGCCAACACAAATAAACAAACTACAAGGCGCCCAAAAACCCAATAAACACCCCTCCAACCAACACAAAAAAAACAACACACACAACCACACAACCACACAGCAAACAAACATCACCACACCAACAAACCGCAAAACAAAGTCTCAAACCAACAGCCACCCCCAACCCACAGCCGCCCCCCCTCACCCCCACCCCCCCCCCCCGCCGCCCCCCCCGCCCCTCCCGCCGCCGCCCCCCGCCCCCCCCGCACCCCCGCCCCCGCCTCCCACCCCCGCCCCCGCCCCCCCCGCCCCCCCCCCCCCACCCACCGCCGCGCCACCTTGACCCCTTCCCCCCCTCGCACCCCCCCCCCCAACCACCCGACTCAACCGCCCCCCCCCTCTCCCCCTCCCGCACCCCCCCGACACCCTCCCCCCACCCCGCGGCCGCCCCTTCCCCGCGCCCGCCTCCTCCCTATCATCCTCCCCCCCCCCCCAACTACCACCACCCCCCCAAAAACAACACGCCCGCCCCGCGCACAAGGGACGGCCCCCCAACCCCACCACCCCGCCCCGACCACCCCAAAAACAAACCATGAATAAACACAAGAAAGAATAGAAAAAACAGAAAGAAATAGAAGCGAAGAAACAACTAAACAAGTAAAGGAAGAAAAACAACAAAACAAAACAAAAAATTGGAAGAAAAAAAAAAGACACAAGAAACACAAAATCGAAAAAACACAGGTCGAAAGACTTGGAAAAAAAAAAAACACAAAAGAAGACAAAGGCAGAAAAAAAAAACAAAAAAAAAAACAATAAATAAAAATAAAAAATAAAGAAAAATAACAAAAAAGAAAACAAAGGAAAACGAAGAAAACCACACACACACACACAGACACACACAACACCACACACACCAACCACACAAAAAATACAATACCGAGTAAATTAAAAAAAAAAAAACCCACCACAAGGGTACAAAAGGGAATGAAGAGAATGATAAGAAAGCGTGAAGAAGGAGAAGAAAGAGGGATTGGAAAGACGAAAGTAAAAAGGAGACAGAATAGAGCACCACCGATAGTGAAGAGGGAAAAAAACGAAGCAAAAAAAAGAGGAAAAAAAAAAGCGTTAACTAAAGGAAAGAAAGGAGATTCAGAGACAAGAGAGGAGGAAAAGGTATGAGGATTGGCATGAAAGAGAGCAGGGAAAGGAGACACAAGCACGAACAACACTAAGAGGCGAAGACTAGAGCGCACAATCCACTCGTAGACAAACAATCACGAACAGGCGACCACACTAAGCAAAACGCAGACGAACAACACACCACACAACAGAGGACCCAGGGATAAAATGGAAAAAACAAGAAAAAAATGAGAAAAGAAAATGGCAATAAGAGAGAAGAAGGCGAGAGAATGATAAAGAATGAGAGGAAATAAACACATTGACCTCACAAAAACAGATTAGAAAGAAAGAAATGAGAAGAAGGAGTAGAATTAACGGTGATGCAGAGAGGAAGCCAAGCCCACACCAACAAACGGACATAACACTACGGATAACGAACGTTACAATAAAGTATATGCTGTTCAAAATCAATACCAAAAGAGAAATTCAGCACGAATATTGAAACTGAACTAAAAGAAATAATATTACTATTAATAGATACTATTGAAAATAATAACAACACACACTAATAATCGATTTTACAGAGAGCAAAAACACAGAAAAACACACCCAACAACACAACACCATGACGCCAAACACAACACCACCGCCCCGACAACGCACCAGGATCAACACAGTACATGTTGGAACTCATGCCTCCAACGGCAGGGCAAGGAAAAACAGGTCCCCCACGTACTAATTCGGAGACACACAGACAATAAAAATGTTACAGATATTAACCAAGTGGAAATAGGACACGAATCGAAGAGGTTCAGAAGTATATTCGACGTATATTCTGATGATTATCATTATTAGAGAATAACTTAAAAGATTATATCTTAGTATCCTGACATCACATTAGAACTAGGAGGTATATGAGACAATTCTATATTCGAAGCAAAGAAAAATTCAAAAGAGAAAAATGCTAGAACTGATTGAAACATCATTATATATTCTGAAGTAAAATATTTAAAAAGAAAGAAAGAGAATGGCGTAAAAAGTATCAGATAACTTAGTATCATGCAAGCACATAACAGAAGGAACGTAAGGAAAAATCTGATATGAGAGGAACAACGTATATATAACAGAACCAGCCGGGTATAACATTAGAAACCAACGAAAGGACAATGCTACTGAACTTGAAAATATTGTGACAACCAAATACTCATCGTATTCTACCAATTTACACATAATGAACTGTTCCATTATCTATATATACTCTATTCTTTCTCCCTCTCTTCTTTGTCCTATTCTCCTCTCGAACCCACCCACACCTAGCATACTGCAGACGCTCTCGAAAGAACAGTAACGAGAAACCTACTTCCCTAAGTCGCAATTAAGGAAAAGCCCGAAACACATAACCCAGCTCACAATGCCAAATAGCTTACGTTGCTCCTAGCCTCGGTATAATAATACTGTGACTCTTAATCCTTCCAACATAAAATTCATCGGAAAGACTCTACCCATCTGTTTCTTACTATTTAATAGATATAATTTGCGATATAAATACTACAGAATAGTCAATAGACACCGAGTAATACCATATAGACTCCACCATACCCCCAAACTAATAACAAATACAACTCGCACACTGCCAAACAGGTCAATCACACCACAAACAAATCAAATACCACACACAACAACAACACAGATCAACGTCACCTAAATAACATAATATGGTGTCGCTGTCCCGTCCGCCCCGTCACCAACTCACACACACACTATATACCACACTAGATATCAATGCACTAATCCCAAGACTGAACTGTGTAGTCGATGTGCTAACGTGATAGTGCTGATCACCGTCACACACTACACACTAATACTACTCAGCGCCAACTCACCTGACTATCAACACTCACAACTACGTGTGTCGCAATCGACCTAAACAGCACAACATACCACACTACATCACACTCACAACCATCTACTACATATACACCACGCTAACTACTACTGTAATACCCCCCCAATAACACACCCTACCAAACAATAACCTCTAAACAATAACTCAAAACAGACACTATATCCATTAACACTCCCACCTATAACCGCAAAATACCTCACATACACCATTTCTTAACATAATATCCCTCCATATAGCCACACCAACCCACCATAAACTACTACTATACCCCACTAAACACCCCTCAAATACCTACACACTCA